AGTCACGATATTATTAAAAAAAAAAAATTATTTCGCAAAGTAAATTCCGAATTAAACATGACAGTACCAGTTTCAATAATCGGTTTCAACCAATCGACGTAAGCTTTATACGCCATCTCAGTAAATTGCTTAAGTTGTTCTTTCAAAAAAAAAAAATGAAAATTTTTAAATCAAAGAAATTAACATCAAGAATTGAAAATGATAGATTTACCTAAAGTGAATTTCTTTGTATCTCGAATGTTAATTCCATATTTGATATACTTTTTAAAATAAACAGGTCGTTTGCTATCAGATTTCAAATCGATGACAGCAAATTTCAAAATGCCAACATCTAATGTTTGAATCACTCCAATGATTGGCAAAAATTTGATCTATACGGGAATTTAGCGGATCATATAAATACGAAATTAGAATAACATTGAAAACAAAACTTACGCAGTAAGAGCCATCCTTTTTTTTCAAAACAGTCAAATGCATTTTCCTCTTGTGATTAGCTTTTAATTAGATGACCAAAAAAGGAAATAATTAAGTCTAAATTTGTTTTGACTAAATAAATTTTCTTTTTTTTTTTTATACCTGATAACACCAATTTTTTAATTGGATCAAAATATTTATTGGATTCCAACTTCTTATGATCAAAGAATTTTTCCTTCATCTATGCAAAAGTGCTTTATAAGTATATACAATATGACAAAGAAAATTTATATTTCAAAGAATAAATGAGGCAACCTCCTCCAGTTCTATATTATTAACTTCTACTTTGCTTCGGAATTGGTTTATCTAAAATAAAGATCCGATAGTAATTCTCGTAATCAAATTCCACACTTACACACTTACTAAATTAAAAAGATTTTTAATACCTTGATTTGGACAGCATTTAATTTTTGCGATGTCGTTCTTAATTTCTATGATTAGACAGATGCGTAAAAAAAAAAATTAAGGGATTGTAAGTTGGAAAATATTAATCACGTCATAAATGAGATGAGAACCTTTTCTAAAGCAACTTTTCTGTCGACCATATGATTATAAAGAGATTCGACATCACTTCTTGATGATGCGCAATCACCAATATTGTCATCATCATATGCCATTTTTGTTATATATTTTACAAAGGGAATGGG